ATGAGGTTAAGAAAGACAGTGACGCGTGTTGTTTTACTTCTCGTGTTTTCTTTACTGTTGGCTGCCTGATCTCTTTTTGTCACTTTATCTCCGAGGATACCGAGCTGTGGATGGCAGCGAGAGTGCAATTCTTTCTTTCTTCCCTTCCATTGTCACCCACTCGCTCCTCTTACTTCTGCTTTTACTATTATCATTTATGGCCCTCCACGTGGGGAGATTTTGGTGGCGGCGGGACATGTCATCCTTTCCCCGTTGTGCATTTGCATAGTGGGAAGCGGAGTGCAATGCCTCACCCAATACAGAGGGAGAGGGGAGGCGCATATACATATATTGTTTGACGCTGACGGCTTCCCTCTTTTCTCACCCCCTGGCCCCTTTCCCCCTCTATGTGATTTTTTTCTTCTGCTGCGGCTGCCGCGATTTGTTTTTTATTCGAGTTGAACGTGAATATGGAGGCACAAAATGATCTTATTTTTATTTTTATTATTATTTTTTTGTGTGTGTTTGTGTGTTCCTTTCGGTTCACCTCTCCGTCGTTGATTGGGTCGCACACATGCACACGGCTGAATTGGGGGGGGAATAGTAATAAAGGAGAGTGAAGGTGGCTTTGGCACCGGAAGAAAACACCCAAACGTACATAACGAGAGAAAAGGGAGCGATAGACCGACACCCGGCAAAGAAGGAAGATACGACAACTGGAGTGAAGCTTTGAGTGAGGAGAAGAGCGATTTTTAATTTAAAAAGTCCAAAAGAATGGCGGCTGTTGGGACGGAGGATGCTCTGGCTCGTGAGATACAGACACGGATTGATCTGCTGCAGGCGGAGTTGCACAAGCACGTCAAGGACGTTGTCGTTGCGGGTAATTTAAAGAGGAATGCCCACTACACGGCTCGTCACGAGATAATTACAAAAGCGATTGAGAGCGGTGAGCTTCCGCGCACCTTCTGGGCGGATGCCATCGTTGCAGCTCTCGAAACGCCTGAAGTGGCGGAGGGCAACGAAGGCCGCCTTCTTGGCAACTACGATGCCGCGTTGCTGCGGGAGTATCTGCAGGAGGTGAAGGTGGAGTACACAGAGGCGGGTGTGAAGGTCATGCTCACGTTCGCGCCTAATCCCTTCTTTCAGGAGACCGTTTTGTGGGGGGAGGAGCGGCACTACGCGGGCGATGAAGAAGAAGAAGAGGGAAAAGGAAAAGACAGTGATAATGAGAATAAAAACAAGAACAACGACAAGGACGAAGATGATGATGGTGATAATGATGCGGATGACGTTTGCCGCTTCTCCGGCATCACGTGGAAGCCGGGCCACGGCCCTGAGGACGACGGCAACGACCACCACAGCGGCGGCGGCGGCAACGCGGGCATGGACAAGGGTAGAAATGGCACGAGCAGGAAACGCGAGCGGTCGCCAGCTACAACGCAGGGGTGGAGTTTTCTTGACGTTTTCAGCAAGATGCTGCCGCACCCGGAAGAGGACGAAGCCTTTGACGAGGCGGATGACGACGAGCTTGCCGACGCCGTGGAGAACTGGGAGTCCGAGATGGAGGACCGTCGGGATTTACTCTTGACGTTAGTTGAGGACGTTTGGCTTGACCCCATCGCCGCACTCATGAGAAAGCGGGCGGAGGAGCGGGATGGCAGCAGTGGGCCGAGGTTAAAAAGGATGAAGACGGAGTAAAATTGCCGTGATGCTGAACCCCAGCTATGGACACGGACTCTGACTTGTTGTACCGATAATACAGAAGCAAAGCAAAAAAAAAAAAAAAAAAAAAAGAGAACGAGGAGATTATGTGGTTGGGCAATGAAGTGGGATTGCGGTGCCATTTTTTTTGTTGTTGTTGTTTTAAGACTTTTTTTTCTCTTTTGCATTATTCTTTTTCAATAGCCTTGGATGTGGAGGCAATGGTGCATCTGTTCGTGTGGGCGTTTTGGGTGCGAGTAGATGTGTCTTTGAGCTAGTGAGGGTCTGAGGTAAACTTCAACTCCAACGCTGAGAAGAACTCTGTTTCACAGTGGTTGTGTATGTTTCTTTTTATTTTATCTGTCTATTATTGCGTGACGAGTTGCCTTCTCCACCTCCCTCTCCGCATTAGGGACAAAAGGAAGGCGTTGGAGGAGGACGGTGGGGAGGAGGAGGGCATCACATGACAGCAGCGAAGGAGGCAGAAGGGTTCGACAGTGCTCACGGAATGCGTACAACAGATCCCGAGAAATAAGAGGGGGAAGTGTTTTTTTTTTTTTTTTTTTTTTGCTGGTGGCGGTGGCCAATGGTCGAGTGATTTGACATCCATCTCCGTGACGTCTTGTCGCGGTGGGTGCGTCTGACGGCAGCTGGCTTGGTCCCCATTTCCCCTTTTGCCTTTCCTCCGCTCCTTCTTCCTTTGTATTGCGGTGAGGGAAAAGGTTTACGCAGAGCAACCAAGGGCGAGTGCAACGATGGGTTGCGGGCCCTCCACTCAGTGTGCCTCCACTGTTTCTGGGAGCGATGTAACGGGGTGGAAACCGCACGCCGGGGAGGAGGATGAGAATGGCGGTGGAACGAGGGCAAGGTTCTTTCGGAGAGGCCACGCAAAAAGCGGTGGGAAGCGGAGCAACGACGAGGGCCAGCGCACCTCTCCGCCCTTAGTTCATTCCTATCACTGCGGTGGGCCCAGCGTGTCGGGTGGCGAGGTGCTGCCGGCGCTGTGGTATAGCGACTGTACCAAAGCCGCGTGGAAGAAGGACGGGGCGTCTCTTGCACAGGATGATACTGTGCTTCTCTACAGGATTGTGTTGCCCCGCCCCCCGTATGAAGTGTGGGCCTTCTACAATGACACAAAAGACATACAGTTTTATGTAACAATTCACTTTTACCCTCATCCAGAGCAGAGGCGCGAGCTGCTGATGCCGTTGGGTGCAACGACAGTCGTTTGGTTGGAGGACGGAAGTCAGAATGGGATGGACGCTGGCAGCGCGGTGGCAAAGCTTGTCGTGGGTCCCACCGAGACGGCCCTCGCGGTGGAGGGGCACATGGTTGCTTACCGTATCATTGTGAACGGTTTCCCCGCCAATTTCATGATGCAGTAATGTTTTTATTTTTATTTTTACGAACGACGATGTCCTCTCCGTCTCTTTCCTTCCTTCCATTAAACACCAACTCCTCTCTTCCTTCATTTACTGCAGCCCTCACCTGCGATCACCCTTACCGTCGGGGCTTCTCAATTAAGTTTTTATTTTATTTGTTTCCTGCAACGCTTTTTCGCTTTTCTCACCTGTTTCTTTTTCTTTTCTTTTCCTTTTCTCACACCGCCAAAACATGACACCTAGGAAGTCGCGTTACAAAAACAGCTACAACTAACCAATCAACAAGCCTTTTTTTTTTTTTTGGTTTCCAATCATGGGCTGCGGTGCTTCTTCGAAACCCTCCACTGTGGAGTACAAGAATGGCAAGCCAAGCTTTAAAGGTGACGAGATTGTGAGGGGGTTTGATGAGGGCAATGGCCTTCTTTTCCGCATTGTGAACAACAAGAAGAAGCAGTGGGCGTACTACAACGACACCACGGAGTACGAGATGCATGTAAAAGTGACATTCGGTGAGGATTGCGACATCAAGGCACTTGGCAAGACACATTTGGAGAAGCTGGAGTCCGGTGAGCATTTGGCGACCATCGTTGTGCACCCGTGCGAGACGGAGATGTTCATCGAAGGCCGTGTGAACGGCTTTAAGGTGAAGATGGACGCCGTCCCCACTGAAAAAAACAAACGCCCGAAGGAAGAAGAAGAAAAGAAATGAGGAGAGGCGGGGAACGTTCACGGGGGAGAGAGGGACATGAAGAATACCGGAAATGAAAACAAACAAACAAACAAAAAAGTATGAACAAAAATTGGCGGAGGAATTGGGGAGATGGGGGCAGGTGGAGGAATGAATGGGCTTAACGTCTTAGAGTGATGTATGCAGCGCCACTTATTTCTTTTATTTATTTATTATTATTATTTTTTCTCATGGAGTGTTCAGATTTGCCTCTTCCTCCTCCCACGCTCCATTTTATTGATGTAAATACATACATACATACATACATATATATATATTTGCCTTTTCCTCCTTTTGTTCCGTTTTCTTTTCCGGTCTTTATTTCTTATTTTTTTTCTTCCCCCCTCCCCCTTCTCGCTTTCTCGTTCTGTATTTGACCACTGCCCGTGGCCACCTTTTATGGCTTGGCGAGTTCAGTGCGTCTCATCATTCTTTTTATTTGTCTTATATATGTATATGTGTATTATTGAATTTGTTTTGTCTTTTGTGTTTTTGTTGATGACGTCATATTTGTGTCCATCGTGACGCGTATTTTATATCCACATCGTGACGAATGCCGCTGCGTCTGCGTCGTGAATGTTTGGTGGGTATGAAGGGCTATTAAGCAGGAATGGTGGTGGTGTGGTGTGTGACGGTTGAGGTACATATATATATATATGTACATATGCATGGACGGCAGCTTGCGCCCCTCTTGACGTGCCCATGCACTTAGCTTTACTCCACTTCCACCTTGCGTTCCATGTGAAATATTGAAGGGACGTTGTTTTTGCACCAAACGATTCCCGCAAAAAAAAGAAAAAGAGACAGATGTGCAACCCTCCTCCCCCCTCTTTCAACAAAAAGGAAAAAAAATCTTTTGAGGACCGGCATTTCTGTTTGTGCCTTATTATTATTATTATCATCTTTTTTTGTCTGTTTGCCTCTCTCTCTCTCTTTGTATTTATGTGTTTTTTTCTTTAGCCAGTTTGTTATCCCTTCTTCTTTCCACCAGGCAACGACAGTGCTGGTTGGGTATAATGCACATGGCTCCATGAAATTCGGACCGGGGTGGGGCCAGACTATATTCCCCTCCACATGCAAAAAGGATTGGGAAGAGAGAGAGAGAGTGTGTGTGTGCGTGCGTGTGTGAGCGAGAAAAAAAAAAAAAAAAGGGGGGGGGGGGGAGCCATATATATATATATATATATATCTTTATTTCTATTATTATTATTGTTTTATTTGTGTTGTTTGTGCAATGAAAAATTGTTTTTTTGATGATTAGGATGACACACCGAGGTTTTAATCAGGTATGCATATACATACATACATACGTGTATAGAGGATGGTGTCTGCCTGAATCCACCTCCTCTTTTTCTTTCTTTTTGTTTGCGTTTCTTTTATTTGTTTCCTGCAACGCTTTTTCGCTTTTCTCACCTGTTTCTTTTCTTTTCTTTTCCTTTTTCTTTTCTCACACCGCCAAAACATCTAGGAAGTCGCGTTACAAAAACAGCTACAACTAACCAATCAACAAGCCTTTTTTTTTTTTTTTGTTTCCAATCATGGGCTGCGGTGCTTCTTCGAGACCTTACGTGGACTACAGGAATGGCAAGCCAAACTTTAAAGGTGACGAGATTGTGAGGGGGTTTGATGAGGGCAATGGCCTTCTTTTCCGCATTGTGAACAACAAGAAGAGGCGGTGGGCGTACTACAACGACACCACGGAGTACGAGATGCATGTAAAAGTGACATTCAGTGAGGACTGCAACGTCAGGGCACTTGGCAGGACGCATCTGCAGAAGCTGGAGTCCGGTGAGTATTTGGCGACCATCGTTGTGCACCCGTGCGAGACGGAGATGTTCATCGAAGGCCGTGTGAACGGCTTTCAAGCGAAGATGGACGCTGTCCCCACTGACAGGTACAAGCACCGGCGAAGAAGAAGAAAAGGGGGATGCTGCTCGTAGGGGCCTTCCCACAGTTTCTCTTTAACCGCTGGAATCCTTTTTTTTTCTTTTTTCTTTTTTTTTTTTTTGTGTGTGCGCTTGGCTTATCCATTACATTTTTTTCTTTTTCTTTTTTGGTTTTCTCTTTTTTCTTGCTTTTTCGTGCTGATGGGTTTATCATATGGTTTGTGTGTATCCATCCATCCATCTGTATGTACCTACCTACCTACCTATGTATGTATTTATGTATGTGTGTGTGTGTGTGTGTGGTAAATTTGCTTCTTGATGGGCACCCTTCGTCATAATTTATTGCTTACTTCTTGGCATTTTTTTTTAAAAACTTTTGCTTTTTTTGTGCCTGAGAAGAGTCATGTGAGGAGAAGGGGAATGCGGTGTGATGTATTTATGTATGTTTGGGGGGGGGGGGGGATGGGGGGATGGGAGGAAAAGGAGTCGTCGGAGAGCGGGGCTGCAGAATAACAGCAGGAGGAGGATGAGGAGGCATCCCACCCCCGTTCTCTCCCGCTCGTCCCTTCATGCAAAAAGAAAAGAAGAAAAAAAGTGAAAGAACGAGAATAGGGGAGAGTAAGTGAGGCTGAGAGTAAAATTTGAAGATAAGGAAAGAAAGAAAGGGAGAGAGAGAGAGGGAGAGAGAGAGATAAGAGGAAAGACATTAGCACTTGTGCGGTGGCCGAGGAGGGAGGGGCCCTCTTTTTCTTTTTCTTTTTCTTCTTTCTTTATGTATTCCGGCTTAAATTGTACCCAAAGAAGGCAGACCGAACGCATGCCGCAAGCCCGCGGAGGCCAATGAAAAGTGACGGGGATATTTCTCGCTTCACTGCTCATGTTCAATCATTTCCGCTTTTTTTTTTTTTGCTTTTGCTGACTTTTCGCAGAAAATTACAACAACAATAAAAAGAAAATAGATGCGGCGCACGGCACCTCTGCGTCGCACCTCGCGCCGTGGTCCGGGCGGATGGACGGAGCCGACGCTGCGGCAGGCCGCTGCTCTGGTGGATGGGAATGTCACCAGCGGAGCAGCACGAGGCCCATCGACTTCATTTGTTGGCAGCCCTTCCCCAGCCGTGAAGAGCGCATTCGGTGTGGACGACTTCTCCATGATTCGTCGGCAGCAGATGACATTCACGAAACTCATTCAGCTGACGATGGACGCGACTTTCCGTCCAAAGGACTCTGACAGTAAAATCTACGGCGGTGATGGCGCAACACAGCGGGCGGCATTGCGCGAGGAACTGAAAACGATGGACCGTCGCATCACCCCTTTTGCCCACGAGGAGCTCCTTAACGACTATTTGAAGAACATTGTGGCGTTTAGCAGCCCATCTGGCCAGGTGTGCGACCGGGAGCTGCTGCGGGGGCGTCTGGTTGGTTTGCTTTTTTTTACCGAGTCGGAGCGGTCATTGGCCTTTATGCGGAAATTGAAGTCTTTTCATCAGAGACATCGACAAGATTTTGTTGTTATTGCTATCTCTTTGGCCGGCAAGGAGATGATGGACGTTACACGACAACATGGATTTTTTCATTGTGCCCATCGCGATGGTGCGACATGGGTGTCGAGGGACGCAGGGGTTATGGTAAGACCGCTAACACCACTGCCGCGGTTGATTGTGGTTGATGGCAAAAACGGTGAGGAGATAACACGTAGTGGCTTGACGGCTGTTCTGACGCATCCTGACACGTGTTTTGCGGCATGGCGACGGGGTGCTCCCGGACACGAGTGGTGGGACTATTTGAAGACGTTTTACCTCTGACTGGGGCCTTAGTGTGCATATATATATATATATATATATAGTCCCTGTGTCTATGTGTGTAAGTGTGTCGAGTGGATGGACTGGCTTCACCTTTCCCTCACTCCTGGTGGCTTCTTATCGAATCTGCGGCAGCGGGTTGCAGAGAGAGGGGGGCAAGTGGAGTTGTGGCGACTCTCGAGAGGTGTTCTCGCCGTCGAGGTTCCAAAAATAATAAATAAATATATAAGTGAAGTGTTCTTTTTCCCCCCTTCTTCTCTCTACATAATGGATATATATTTGCAGGCAGAAGAACGTGACACGATAGTGTCTACGGGCACCGCAATTCACCAGGCGGCGGTGTCTGACAAATTAGTGCGATGGGAGGCGGTGCGTCGAGTACGTCATGTGACGATCCGACAACCACCAGCCGAATCAAATACCGCAACGGCTACCCGAAAGTTTTGGGCGACGAGGTGATTGGCTGCTTCAGTACAGTTGACGAAACGGGCGAAGTAATGGCACCGCCGGGGCTCCTCTACCGCATTGTGGATAGATCCAAAAGGCAATGGACCTTCTACAACGACGCAAAGGAGTACAACATGGTGATAACAGGGTACTTTGGACCGCTAAATATCATCAAGGCGCTCGGAAAGGCAAAGATGTGGCGTGAGATGCCAAGTGGACTTCTCATCGTTGAGCTCGTCGTTGAACCATTGCGGACGGAGCCCTATTTAGAGGGCGTCGTCACGGATGGGTTTGACTTGCGATTTAGAGCCCTGCCGACATGAAGTGCCCATGATGACATCCGTTACCTTCATCGGATGCCATTACCAAATAACTCTAAAGCAACACGCATACAATCTATCTATCTATCTATCTATCTATCTATCTATCTATCTATCTATCTATCTATATATATATATATATATATATATATATATATATATATTTATTTATTTATTTATTTATTTATTTATTTTCGTACGTTGAAACTGACGACTCCAACGTTCGGTGATCTGAACCACTTGGTGTCTGCGGTGGTTTCCGGCGTGACCTGCTGCCTGCGCTTCCCTGGCCAGCTCAACTCCGACCTGCGCAAGCTGGCGGTGAACCTGGTGCCGTTCCCTCGTCTGCACTTCTTCATGATGGGCTTTGCCCCGCTCACGAGCCGCGGCTCGCAGCAGTACCGAGGTCTGTCCGTGCCAGAGCTGACGCAGCAGATGTTCGATGCAAAGAACATGATGCAGGCTGCAGACCCGCGCCACGGTCGCTACCTGACGGCGTCTGCGCTCTTCCGCGGCCGCATGTCGACGAAGGAGGTGGAAGAGCAGATGCTCAACGTGCAGAACAAGAACTCGTCCTACTTCATTGAGTGGATCCCGAACAACATCAAGTCCTCCATCTGCGACATCCCGCCCAAGGGCCTCAAGATGGCCGTCACCTTTGTCGGCAACAACACCTGCATCCAGGAGATGTTTCGCCGCGTGGGCGAGCAGTTCACGGCGATGTTCCGCCGCAAGGCGTTCTTGCACTGGTACACGGGCGAGGGCATGGACGAGATGGAGTTCACCGAGGCGGAGTCCAACATGAACGATCTTGTGTCGGAGTACCAGCAGTACCAGGACGCCACCATTGAGGAGGAAGGTGAGTTCGACGAGGAGGAGCAGTACTAGGTAGGTTGGCTGCTGCTACGAGGCACGACGGGAGGGGGCGTGTGAGGGCCGCAGTACAGACAACGCTCGTCCTGTCGGCTTTTTTCTTCCGGGCGCATCTTTTTTTCTTTTTATTAATTGACTTTCCCTTTTTTTTTTTGTTGGGGCGGTGGTTTTTTTTTCTGTCTGGGTGTCTCCGTTGACTAGAGAGGGCAGGGAGTTGTGTGTACAGAGTGAAGAGGTCCCAAGGGGACGGCGGATGGTGACGGGTAGGAGGGGGGTGAGGTGAGGAGGAGAGAGAGATTTTAGAGAGGCGAGGCGGGACTGGCGGCAGGGTCATTTCTGTGTGTGTGTGTGGACATTCGTTGCCTCTTTTTTTGGGGGTGTGTGTGGGTGTTTTTATGGTTTGGGTAGATTAGTATTTATTTCAGTTGGTGCAAATGAATGTGGGTTCTAATCAGGAGGTTGCGTGCACGCTGCTTGTTGGTTTTGATGGCAGTAGTGTGAACACGAAGGATCTCAAGGCGGCTTTGGAGAAGGGGGACATAAATGCTCGAGCAGAGGCGCTGGAAACGATGATTAGGCTCCATTTGAACGGCGAGCCGCAGAATCATATGATCATGTCTGTTATAAAATACATCACCCCGCTTGAGGATCACCTTATTAAGAAGCTGGTGTTGTACTTTTGGGAGGTCGTGGAGAAGACGGACAAGAATGGGAAGTTGCTGAGCGAGATGATTTTGATCTGTTCCTTCCTTCGGGAGGATCTACTGCATCCCAACGAGTACGTGCGGGGTCTCACCTTACGGTTCCTATGCAAGGTGAAGGAAAAGGAACTGATTGAGCCGCTGATTTCATCTGTGGTGCAAAACTTGACTCACCGGGTGACGTACGTACGCCGTAGTGCCGTGGCGGCGGTACACGCCATCTATAAAAGGTTTCCGGATCTTCTTCCTGATGCACCTGAGTTGGTTGAGAAATTCATTGGCGACGAAAACGATGTTTCGGCGCGTCGGAATGCTTTTGACATGCTTGTCGAGTGCGCTCCCGAGCGGGCTGTGCGATTTTTGACGGGCTTTCGTGAGTCGACGAATATGGCGGATGCAGGTGCCGCCTTTCAGATGTCTGTTGTAGACTTTGCGCGGCAAATGATACGAGCGAATCCGTACGACAAGGCGAAGTACGTGGCTATTCTGTTCAATGTTTTGCAGTCCAAAAAA